AAACTTGGGGTAAAGTTTTGATTAGTTTCCACTTGAAAGTGTACTTGCCTTCCAGAAGTCTTTGTGTCCATCAGCCTGCTTTTGTGTCATGGATGCCATTAATAGTGCTTGAAGTTTCTTAATGTAGCTCAGGTATATCAACTTTATTCGCTGAAGATTAGTCTGAAGTCATCTCTAGGCCCATGCTATATAGGACTTCAAAATCTTTATGCAGTTAAACCCCAGAAGGAACACAAGTAGCATTGTTTGGAAGATGTGTTGAATTATGCCCTACCTGCAGAGCCTATAAAATTACACAGCCAGTTTTTAGGACGTTTGGAGCCCTTGCAGACCAAGGAAAACTTAGGAACCATTCAACCAGGTCTGGAAAAGGCAAAGGTCGAAGTCCGTTCTTAAAATGCAGCCAATCCTTGATTTCTTAAAAAACGAAAAACAAAAAACAAAAAACCCACGTATTAATGAAAAAGAGCATTGGTATGTATCTCCCAAAGCACGAGATAATCCAAACATCATTGGAGATTTCAGCCGCCACTTTAGCCTCCTGATTCTGTTTTGCTTACCCTATGTTTGAATTCATTTTCATTCTCCTGACACAAGGCAAACATTGGCAAAGGAAGCGATCCCAAGGTGTCCTGAATTCAGGAAGTAACTTTCTCATATTTTGCTCCGGGCTGTTTTCCCCTTGCTAACGGCAGCATTGGAGTTTTCTTTTTGCTTTAATCGACCAGTTCCAATTGTTTGTACAGGGGAAAATGGAGTTGCAAGGAGCATCTATTTTGTAATGTTCAGCACTGTAGGAGAACAGACTGGGGCAGTGCAAGAATGACTATATGGTGTTGCTTGGGAAGCACCCACAAGTTCTTTGAAACAGAATTTGGAACAGCTGGACCACTGCAGTGTTTTATTTTAAAATAGACAACATATGTAATGCATATGGTCCTAGACATGTATGGAGACACAGGCAGACAATCTGAATGGTATCCAAAGACACCTGCACCTAGAATTCTGTTTCCTTCTATAAGATTTTTTTTCCCCCGAACAGCACATGTTCCCACTTTTGGATTTGCAAGATGCCATCTGAATCCCCATGTGTGTGACTCCTTAATAAAGTCAATGGGAAGTTTCCTGGGATGGAAGTGTCAGAATAAGTCAGTTAATAAACACCTCCTCAGGACCTGCCTCCTCTGAGAGCTGGCGGGGGAAAGAACAGATCAGAAACTTGCCCTCAAGGAACATATTATCTAGCAAGGGATTCAACTTGTATGTGGGTGTTCTGACCACAGGAAAATTGGAATGTAAACCAGCAAAAACACAGAGATAGGACGTGCGAATTCGTTGTGCAGGGGCAGAGGAGAAGTACAATGCAGAGAGACTGGGAAGGCTCCCAGCCTCCTAGAAGCAATATGGTTTAAGAAACAACCTGTAACTAACATTAGCCATAAATACAGAGACATCCTTGGCTCGCTGAAAACTTTGATCAAGCTGGCTTCAGGAGCACTAAGAAATTTGCCCACTCATAGCTAAGGTTTATTGAGCGCTTACTGTGTGCCAGCTGCCCAGGTACTTCTCAGCAGAACCTCTCAGCAACCTTCCCCCCATTGACTCAAACACTATTCTCCGTTTACATACGAGGAGGACACTCAGAAACACTAATCAGTCTGCGTCACTGTCACATCCCTAGTAATGGCAGGGCTAGCCTCAAATTCAGTCTTTGTGACCCCTTAAGCCCACCCACTTAACCACCTGTTACCCTAGCTCAAATAAACTGTTTGCACTGAATTTAGTATATCACCATTTCGTTAAATCAAGAAATAGAAAATATTTGTTGAAGGAGTGACTTTATTTATTTTGATGAAATAAATTCATTATTTTAACACCTATGTCTCAAGTGCCTGCTGTGTACCAGGTACTGAGAGATGCTTGTTCTAGGTGCTGGGAATATAGCAGAGAACAAAAGTACCCAATCCTTGCTGGGACAGAGCCGAAAAATCAGACCCCTTCCCCTGACACCTTAAAATAGTGTTCCTGCTCCCCTCCCCACCCCACTCCTCTTTTTCTGAAGAAAATAAGCTCAGCGAGACTCTCAAAGATTTCATGGTAGACAGTCCCCCTTTCAAGCACTGTTGAGTGGTTGGAACCAACAACTCAAGAGGCTAAATCTGGGTAAATGATGATTTTGAGTAAGCAAAATCCAGAGGCTGTTCGTTTTACCTGCTGGAAACTCCCATTGTGTTAGGCTCTATCTTATACATGTAGACGGTGTGCAAAGAGCTTAGGTGACCTCAGCAAGGGCAGTGAAAATCCGGCTGATTTTACGCCCAAGGAAACTGAGTCTCAGAGATCAACAAGCTGGGATCTCTCAGCTCTTTAAAAATAGAGCTCGAACTAGAGTCCAGACCTCCTAAAGGAGTCCCAGGCTCATCTCCATGTGAACCGAGAGAGAGAGAGAGAGAGAGAGAGAGAGAGAGAGAGAGAGAGGAAAGAAAGGAAGAAGGGAAAAGGGATTTTTATGTTGACAGAGTGGCTTTCTGAGAAGGAAAACAGGCTGATTTTAAGCATATTTTTCTGTAAGCCTCCTTTAAAACCGCAAAATTGGTCTTTAGATGTACTCTAAGCCAGGACTTAGCCCGGTGAAGCTGTATTGTGATGTATCGGGGAGGCGGGGAGTAGGATCCGGATCCAGGTCTCCACGGAGGAGCCAAGTTGCCTTTTCAGATGCATTTCCTGAGTGGGCAGGCGGCAAGGTGAAATAGTTCATCGCAAAGTTTTCAAGAGGTTCGACAAATAAAGAAGAAGAGACTTGAGACCTGTGTCCTACATTTAACAGCTACGAAAGAGCCCCCTTCTCTCCGAGCTAAATGACCGGTTCCGCCATCCTAATGGAAGAGCAGTAAAATAGCCGAGCCAAACTGGCAAAGTAAGGCCCCCGGGCCGATTTGTCAGCTTGCAGCCTCTTCTGAGAAATCCGAGAGCAAGAAGCTGGTGCTAGCCAAAATGCCTCATCTCTCTGTTAAAATTGGGAGGCACGAGATGGGTGAGGCTTTTTATAAGGATGAGCAATTAGTGGGCTCCGCTGTTATTTTTCCTCGACTAAAGTGACCTGGGACTGACCCGAAGGGGGTGGGAGGGCATCATCTGTCCTGAGGGATGGAAAGGTGGCACCTGGATTACAGGTTTGCCCTCCTGCAGGGGTGGGGGTGGGGGGGGGGCGGAGATTTAAAGTTGGAGCAGGTTTAAGACGCTTGCCTCGGGCCAGAGGAATCTCACACAGACATAGTCTAGAAGCAGCTAGCTTTTTCCCCAGCATCAACTTCGGGCCACCTGTCTTAGTAGCCATCCTGAGTCAAAAGGAGAAATACAGCTTGGAGCCCAAACAACCAACAAAAGAATCCTCATAGATAAAGCACCCGACTTCACACTGAAAGCACTTTCTTGAAGACAAATCCGAGGCAATTAACACAGCAAAGAGAATTCTTTCAGATTCTCTAATATAATTCTCACGCGGGTGATATTCCTTCCAAAAGCTTGTGTTTTATCATCTTAATGGAGCAACTTGGCTATTAAAATACACTTTCTTCAACTTGCCTTCTGGAAGCCATTGCTTCTGTGTGTCTAGGGCATAAGCAACACATCCCGTTCAAACACTGACCACTTGCTGCTTCTATGAAAAATGACTAGAGATTTTGAAAATCTAACAGGAAGAGGGCAAGCATCTGACATACCGTGGATTTAGGTCTGAATGATACACCAAATCTATAATGCGATGAGAAATATTCAGCTTAAAGCCAGCCTGCTACCAAAATTCAAGTTTTCAGTCATACCCCAAGCATAGAAGGGGGAAGCTGCCTGCGATAAAGGGCCATGTATGAAAATCTATCCAAACACCCTCTCAATCAGAAATTGATTTTCCTCCTGTCCAGACAGCATTGCTGGTCCCAGGCAGGTCCCCCCTCTTCCTTCCGGTAGAATATTGCATACCAGGGGATGAATAAACTCTTGCTTAATTTGATATACGATGCTTCTTCTTTGCAGTGAGCATAGCAGGAGAGTGAGTGAACATGAGGTGGAGTGAGCTGATTCCTTTAATGTGTAGGCTCTTCATTCCTACCTCTCCGGGATTTACTTGTTCTCACTTGAGTTGAATTCTGAGTTATTTTGCCGATTGAGGATAGAGTATTTTAGTTACACATATTGAGATTAATTAGTTAGCCCTTAGGAGGTTTTGCTTGCAGCCTTCACCCTGTAAGAAAAAGTGTGAATACATTGAGACTATTAATTCACAATAAATGGCAGATCATAGCCCTTGCTGAGTAAATCTGTTTGTCTCTTTCATAAGCTTTGCTAATTGTAAGCACACTATAAGGCAATGACCTTGGCTATCACAAACTAAATTCCCACTTAACTTATTCTCCAGGTTTCAATGAAAATCTTTTGTTATTATTATTTTCTTTTAGTTTTGGAGGGCGGGGACCCAAATCTTTTGTGAAACCAAATTGGCAATGGGGATTTGGAAGGGGAGGATACAAATATTGTCACTTGGCTGAAAATCAGCATAACCCTTTTTCCAGATAATCCCAATAATTGTAGAGAAATTGCTCTAGATATAACCACTGGAATGGCAGAATCTATTAAAAACCTAAAAAAGCTAACTAGGCTTTTATAAGCAAAGATCCGATCTGCTTTCAGTGTTTGGTGAATTGCAGGCGAAGTTACGGTCGTGTGCTTAGTTTTTAAAGAACAACATAAATGCACTGGAGTTGTGATCATTTGATAAACATATTGATGCCAATATATTTTTGCCTAAATGCAATAAACTCACCAGTAAGTGATGCAAGTTGACAATGGGAGGTAAAAAGAATATCTTGCGGATGTTGGTGGGAGGGAAAGGGGAAACAGCTAGCATTCATAATGCCTAGTGAATTCCTGTGTATTTGAAATGTCAAAGAAAATGTGATGTGTTTCTCTAAATTGTGTCTCTCTCTACATGTATAAATGAACAGACGCAGATAGAGCTCAAAAACATGGCATGGATGAATTTATCTCTTCCAACCCCTGTAACTTTGACCACGCTTCCCTCTTTGAGATGGTGCAACGCCTTACTTTGGATCACAGACTTAATGATTCCTATTCTTGCCTGGCAAGTATATTCTTTGGTCTACAGCAGTTTAAACACGATTAACATTTTTTTTTTAAATGCGGTATTTCTCTACCTTTATATCAAAAGCTCTTTTCTCTGTTACAGAGCCCCTTTAACAATGGTAAATGTGTTCTTGATTTCCTGGGTTGAGATAGTTTTACTTACCAAAGAAGACAGAGCGGGAGGCAGTTATCAGTAGAGACAGATCCAATTCCCCAGCCTCCCCATCTAAGCTTCCCCCTTTTCAGCTGCTACATGAGAAATATTCCCAAGAGGGTAATCGAGTTTGGCACCTGCTTGTGGAGAACTTGTAAAAATTGCCTCGGTTTCTTAAGACTTTAAGATTCCCCCTCCCTCCCCTTCTCAGATGATAAGACCCTGTGCTTCGGTCTCAGAAATGGATGTGTTCTTTTTGTTTATTTTTCAAAAATTAAAATGATTTGTAAATAAATGTCACTTCGCTCTTCAGAAGCCAAACTGGTTTGGATTTGTTTGTTTGGACGGCTTCTTGTTAGTCATAGTATTTGAAGCATTTTTCACCCTTTGGGGGAATTTTTTATGGTGCTTTAGACATTTGGAAGTCCAGCAAGAGCATCAACATTTCTTGAAATCCTGCTCTGAGCCTAGATTTAAATCATTTAAATTCAAGGGACAACTATTATGTCTTTTTAAAAATTCTGTCTTTATTGGATTCCTGAAGATATATTTTGGGCTTTATACTAATCAAATTCAGAAGCCTAAAAAAGACCCGGTTTATTTCCTTCTATAAACCGTAAATTGTTACTTCATTTCTTAAAGGTAAATGATATGAATCCCACTTTATAGATGGGAAAGGTGAGGGGACATAACGAAATGACTTTACAAAGAGGAAAAGCCTCATCCCTGACTCTGCACACTAAGGTTAATGTGTCTGTATATTATAATACTATATAATTTACTAACGTTAACATATTATTGACGATAATATAAATATGATGAAATGTGTTTCTTTCCTATGACACGCTATTTCTTCAATCTATTCTTACTACTTTTTATTTTAAATTCTGGTTTTTTTCCTATAACCAGGAGCCAAACTATTAAAAATAGTAGATAAAATAGTCTTAAAAACAGAAACGGCATTATATGGAATAATTTATTAATCTGCGTCTCATAAAAGATTCATTGATGATCTCGGGTTTAGAATCACTTCATCAGAAGAATCTGAACTTTGCCAAATTGGAAAGGAACACATCACTTTGACTTAAAAAAAAAAAAAAAAAAAAAAAAAAAAAAAAAAAAAAAAAAAAAAAAAAAAAAGCTTACCTTGCATTGCAAGGCAATTTTTCCCAAATGTGTTTCCTATGATTATGTGATTATTCACATAATTATAAATTGCATTCATGAAAGTTGTAAGAATATGCCGCTGAGCTGAAATCATTCCCTTTTATGTATAATTCCTATTCTCTTGAGGAATTTTTTAAGGTGTTTTATTTTCAAGACTTTTTTCACATCATCATTTTTTAAAACAATTTTCTTTTTCACCAAGAGATTTGTCACTAAGAAGAGTTAGTAGATGCTCTAAAAAATTAAGCCAGAAGTGAAATTTTGAAACTTGCTTCGCATTAATCACATATAGGCTTAAAAATATGCTCCAAAATCCACAATTAATTATGAATAGCATAAAATCGTTTCCCTCTGCATTTGTATACCTGTATCTATTAATCATTATCCCCAAATTTCAGAACATAACAGCAATTAAAAGGACCTTATCTCCTGCCTCTATATATTTCATTTTCTCATTATTACAATCTTTTTTTTTTCAGTTAGTTTTGGAGACCGACCAGCAGGGATACATAAATTTTTCTGTGTCTTCGACTGAGTTCCTAATTGATATTTCTTCAACTCTTTTCAAAGCAGCTATTTTGGCATCTACAAAAGACTTGGTGTCATCTGAGTCGTAGAAAATATATTTTAATCTTTCACAGCAGTGTTGTTTCTAAGATTTAGCATTTGGGGTAGCAGATGGAGTGGCAAAGAAGTTGCCTATAGGGGCAGCCCACTGCCTCGACTACTCTCCCGCCCTCTGCAGTAACTTATAATTTGAAATAGGAAAGATGCCGTCTTTCGTTGGATGCATTGCTAAGCTGCGTGTTGTCAATCGAAGATTCCCCAGATCACGGATACAAGATCAGAGTATTGCAGAGGCCTCCCTCTCTGCACTTCTGTGGCCTACACCCGCCCCCTGTCACTGTCTCTTGCCTCTTCTCTCCCAAGGCGGAGAGCAATATTCGAAAGACTTAGAGAGGACCCGCAAAGTAAAATTAGATTTATATTTCAAAGAATTCTAAATTCCTGGCTTACAACATACCACCTAAGCTGGTTCACAGGTTTCTCCCCACTAACGAAAAGTTCTCTTTAAGCCACTTTGCTTTTGCGAAAGACCTCCATTAGTACTTGTTTTCAATAACCAAAAGGAATTCAAAGAGGACTTTTCGCTTGTACAAAATGATTATTGCTTCTCCACTATACACCACTTTGGCTTATGAAAGGTTTCACGGGAACGTTCCTTTTTCAGACAGTGAGGGAAACCTGTGGGGTTTTTTAATTTTTATTTATTTATTTTTATTTTTATTTTTGCTTCGGAAAAGTACCAAAACCAAAAGAAGTGATTTGCTTTCAGGCTTGGCTGACGGGTGACCTTGAGTGGATAGTCTCTCAGCCTTCCTGAGCATCTATTTTTTTAAGGGCATCATGGAGGCAGCAATTTCTATGCCATCATGCTTCCCAACTGCTCTGAATCAGAGATTCCATCCAGATTCTCTTTTATAGCAGCGTTTCATCTGGTCATACAGCAAGCAAATAATGAGAAAACAAATAATTGCCAGGGGAAAAAAAATAAAGCAAAATGCTAAGCCAGGGCCCAAGAAGCACCTTGGAGTTTAATTGTATCCTGTCTGGTTCACAACTTGAAAACTTAGTCGCGATGCTCTCTTTGCAAAGTTTGGTCAGTATCTTCATTATAAAATTTTAAAAAGATTTCCTTTCAGAGGGAAAGAATGTATGAAGTCCTAAAATGTATGTCGACCAATCCTAAAATCTTTAGTGCTTCAGAGTAGGAAAAGCAGAAGACATGAAATAAGCCAGGTCTACTTCTGTTTTATATTATTTGTGAGTCCCTGAACAGCCCTGATTTGTTTCCTCATCTGTGAGATGGAGATACACCTGCCCTGTCTACCTCACAGGATTGCTGTGGGGCTCCAGCAAAAGTTCTTTGTCAAGTATAAAGCATAGTACCAATATAAGACGTCATGTTACTGTTTTCTCGTATCAGTAACCAAGCTCTCACCCTGTCTCCACCCCAACATTCTTAGAAGGTGTAAGGTTCAGTGTTAGAGCAGCGAGTGCGATTGTGTTTCTGGAATCATGCTGTCTGCTAATCTGGACTCCACCACTTACTAGTTCTGGGATGCTAGGGAAATTCCATGTCTTCCCTTGAGTTTCCCACCCATCCAACAGGGAAAACAGGGCCTACCCCATAGTGCTGTCCCAAGGGTCAAAGGAGCCAGCACACACACAAGGCGGTTAGCACAGTGGCTGGGACTTTAGAAGAAATCAGCAAGTGTTGGCTCTCGAAATTTTTAAACCCCCTTTTCTAGTTACTTCCAACTGTAGCAGCTCTCCAAAAAGCAAAACAAAACAAAACAAAACACAAAACAGCAACACAAAAAAACCTGTATTTAAAAGAAAGTCTCTCCTTTATTCCCCAAACAGGGCTGGTTCAGTCCTGGCCAGGTGTTTGTCCTAGACGAGTATTGCGCCCGAAACGGAGTCCGAGGGTGTCACCGACATCTCTGCTACCTCAGAGACTTGCTTGAACGGGCAGAAAATGGCGCCATGATTGACCCCACCCTCCTTCACTACAGCTTTGCCTTCTGTGCATCCCATGTCCATGGGAACAGGTAAGCACTTGTCCAGAGGTATTCCTCAAAAAAAAAAAAAAAAAAAAAAAAAAAAGATCTTTTTTTAAGGCACTGGCAATGGTGTATGACTTGTCCTGCTTTTAGAATTGTCTCTAACTCTGTATCCCTTCCTGTTCCTTCTGTAGTATACACACACACACACACACACACACAAGAACACACACACACACACACACAAGAACACACGGGTCTTAGTTTCCTCTCTGTTCAAGAAACTTAAAAGAAATGGCAAACAGGACTTCTAAAGTGGTCTCTGAAGGTAGAACAATCTAGGTTCAAATCGTGGCTCCTCCGTTTACTAGCAGACATGCTGGATGGCAACTGAACCCTCCATGCCTCAGTTGTCTCATCTGTAAAACAGGGATGATAGTGTCCTCATGGGGTGTTTAAGAGGATGCATGTGGGCTCAGCACAATGCCTGGAACATGGCAAGAGCCTCATAAATGTTTACCTTTCTTGTTGCTATCATTCGTTCCATAAATATTTAGTGATTATTTACTGAGTGCCAGGCACTCTGGTATACGTTCAGCGTACATGGTGAGCAAAACAAGGCCCCGAACAAGGGCAGGGTTACAGGGAGAGCCAGGCTCTGAAAAAAAGGAGTAATATTCCTTACTAGCATTTGATAAAGGAAGACAGCTCAGACGGCGTGTGAGGACGGCAGGGAGGGTGTCCCTGAGGAAGAGATATTGGGCTGAGAACTGAAGCACATGTAGAAGTTGAGTGCTTCCAGGCAAAAGGAACAGCGTGTACAAATGCCCTGCAGACGGAGAAAGCCAAGCACACTTCAAGAGCTGAAAGCAGCTAGGTGAAGCTGGAAGCTAGATACTCATAACACTTACAGTTTAACCATAGAGCTGGGAGGAACTTTAGAGATCACAGTGTAACCCACCCCCTCATTTTATAGGTTTTCTAGACAAGACCAGAACATCAGTTCTCCTAACTCCACACTAAGTACTCTCTTTCTTTAGACGTTGCCCAGCTCCTGGAGGAAAAGATCCATGTTCTGAATAATGCAAAGCGGCAAATAATTTAAGAACATTACCATTTGGCTCTGAAGACATGGAATAAATTTCCACATTGCCACAGCCAGTTTACTATCCCAATGTATGTAGCCTCACGTTGCTATAAAGACAAGCCTGCGTTCCCTCGAGCACCACCTCAACCGGTAGCCAGGAAAGGCACATCCAGGAAAAACTAGGTGGCTTCCGAACCCCGAAAAAGTTGGTGCTGCATTTATTTTAAATCAGACCGTCAGTTATCTTCATCTTCGCAAGCTAGAGGACTCTGAAATATCTGTGGGATTTGTTGTGTGCTTTTCCTCTCTCTAGTGCTGGGAGGTTTGATGAGATACAACCTCAACATTTAGAACTAGGTAACAATAGCATTGTAGGTTTGAATATTTAACAGGCAATGAGGTTTTCATCACCTCCCATTGTTATAAGGTTTGCTAGCCCCACACATGACCTTTTGTTTACATAAAAAATATTTATGAAAACTCTGATACCTGGGGAGTATCTGTGCATAACTCTGCTTTTTATAAATATGTACACTTTGATGACTGTCTGTTACAGCCTCTTGGACTGAGTTCTTTAAAGAGAGAGAGAGAGAAGTTGCATTATATTCTCTGGGTTGTCACACTGTATTCTACATATGTTACTGAATAAGAAAGTGTTATAAAATAATGAAGTGTTTTTGTAAACTCCCTGGTAAACATCATCATGAATTATGATACACATTGTCTGGATTTCATATTGTAAGACTGCCACTTGATTCACAGTTAGGTTTATACATCTTGTCATGGAAACAGTTTTGGATTTCTTATTTTCTTTTCAGTTCCGATTTTCCTTATGCAAGTTTGCATCTTTTTTTTTTTTTTTTTTTTTTTTGCTTATTATTTTAGTTTGAATGCATTTGCTCTTGCTGTTTGATGCATCCTTCTTTTTCTTTCTTCTGTTTGTGCATGTATGTGTGCTCTTGATTCTCCTGTGGCTGGCCACACTCTGTGCATGCCCCATGCGACCACCCCCTCTCCAAAGTCAACAAATGCATGCATATCTTAGTGGGCTGCTACCAAATACAGACCCTGAAGGGAGCAAAACTCCCTCCCCATCTGAACCAGAGGCCAAAAAAGATACCAAAAAGGAATCCAAAAAAAGAAAAGATTGCAAAACCCAGGCAAATCCAGGGCCCAAAAGGTAAGAAGTTAACGCGTCTATTGGCTTGTGTTTTGCATTGTCTATGCCGTTCCCCCTGTCCACGCCATGACTTCCACCTTAGCAGACAACAAGCTTTGTGTATATCTGAAGTCTCTGTTCCTTTAAGGTTCTTCAAAGGTATACTTTAAAAGAAAATCATAGGCATGGGCAGAATACCATGTATTAGGACCGAATTTGAGTCAGGTGTTTAGTGACTCTTAGAACATTTTCATATTGAAAAAACTGAGCAGGGGCGCTATATGAAGCCTGTTGCTGTCCACTTCAGCCAGGCTCACGACCTTCACTGCGGAGTTCGGAGCCCCGCATCAGGCTCTGGGCTGATGGCTCAGAGCCTGGAGCCCAGCTTCCGAGCCCCTCTGCCCCTTGCTCATGCTCTGTCTCTCTCTCTGTCCCAAAAATAAATAAACGTTGAAAAAAAACACTAAAAAAAAAAAAAAACTGAGCAATGTGTAAACAGAATCGTGAATCAGATTGCTTTTTTAGTGGCATCTAGTTAAGGACCTGGTACCTTACCAAGTCATTCATAATAAGCAACCCGTGCTTTGTAATTTTGAAATTATGTTTAAGGAGCAAATAGAATGGGTTGTCATAAGACGGGTCTATACATTTATAGTAGCTACATCATTTTTAGCAAACCCTTCTCAGTTCCACATTGATCTTATGAAACAAAGCTATCTTTAGATAATGACTTATAATAACACAAAGCAAAACCTATCACCAAATGAATGGCTCTTAGTAGAATCACTTATAGAATGAGGTCACCTTGAAGCCACTTGCAAGTTCTAAAATTGTATTTATCCTCTTCTGTTTTCTTTGTCCTTTAGGGCTGCTCTCATTGTGAATTGATAAAAATGGCAAATTGGTGACTTTTTCCCCCTTTAAGCTAGACTTGCAGTTATTTCCAGTGTTATCCTTATGTCCTTCCTCACCTTCCCTATCCTCACCACAAATTAATATTGTCCTTTTAAAGTTTTGTTGTTGTGGTTTTGAAACTGATATTCTGACCTGGCATTACCAAGAGACACAAAGTTCATAAGCAGGTATGTTTTACGCTTTCAGTATGAATTTGTTCACTGGAATAATTCTAAGTCCTGAAATATATACAGTTCACCTGTAGGCAGAGTAAATGAAAATACCAGCTTCAGTTCCTAGAGAATGTGGCAGGCTGTCAATCAACATGTATCGGTCTGATAGGGAAGGTCAAAGAAAGCCCCGATTCCATGTGGACACCTGCTTTTCAAAGTTGCAGCATGTAAGGATGGAGGTGAAGTGAAGTTTCTGTTTGTGTTACCCTAACGAGAGTCAGATTGCAAAGCAATGGTAGCTTGCAGCCAGTGAGAAAGCACACAGAGAATGCTGCGTAGGTATCCTAAGAAGCCTCTCTGGGTGCTGTCCAAGGTGCTGAGTGATCGGCATTGAAACCGAAAGCAAACCGCCACACTTGATTGAGACTGCCCTGTGCCATGAAAAACTATCCAAAAGGATCTTGAATGGTACTTTGATGAGCTTATGTGTGTTCCAGGGTCTATGTGTATATTGCAGGTTTTGATGCAAATGAAATCATAGTATCAAATACCAGTCATGTAGCATTCTGCAGTTTATCCTTTTATACATTCCGTCTCATTCGCTGTAACATCTTCAGGTTATTTTTTACATCCATTTTGTGGAGGATGAAACTGCATGTCTACAAATTTAAGTGGCACACGCAGATATTCTTGAGTCCAAAGCTCTTCCTCTTTGCACTACATCAGCGTCGTGTGAAGGTTCTAAAGATCTGAGTTTGGAGTCTGTTCTGCATAAATCCAGAATTATCGTATCTTAATTCTGTGCCTCAGTTTTCTCATCTGCAAAATGAGCATGTAGTATCATAGCACCAGTAATATCCTGTCAAACTCTAAAATTATCTTCTATAGATTATAATAACAAATTAAATAAGCCACTGTCATATTCCATAAGTAAAGTTTAATTAAATTAAGGATAATTGCTGCCATTTAGTAAGTGCTTGCTCTATGCCAGGGACTGTGTGTAGTGCTGTTTAGATTTATTATCTCATCTTATCCTTATTACATCCCAGGGAAATATTACTATTTGTTTCATCTAGCAGATGAGTAGCAGATGAGGAGTTTGAGGCTCAGATAAGTTCAGTGACTTACTCTGTTGCAAATAAGTGTGTGATCCCAGTTCAAAAGACATAGTCTGACTTTGGAGCTTGCATTTGTGTCTGGTGTAAGATGCCAAATTCAGCCATTTGAGAGGAGTTTCAACATTTCCGGGCTGGATACTATCACAGTCATCTGAATTAACTAAAGAGTTTTCTAATTTTGTCCTAAAGATGTCCAAAATCAATATGGCTTACCTGGTAATTTTGGCCTTGTGAAGGAAGCCAGAGTGTATCTGGAGTTTTAGACCACGTAAGAGCAGAGTCTCCTCTGAGCATTAATGAACAACCTTTTGGTGTGGGGAAACCATTTTCCCAACTTTTTTTTTTTTTTAACCAGGATGAACACTATTTGCATGTGAAGGTTATCTATTCTTTGGCCCAGATTAAGAAGGCAGTCATGACTCATGGAAACAAATTGCCCTTTAATTGAATTTAACTGAACAATAGAAGCCATTCCTGTTGTCGTTTCACAAGCAGCTTTAGATTAGGTAAAATAGAGCTTTTTACATAATCATTAACTTTTTACCTATTAATAACTCAGCATACCCAGAGGTGGAGGGAGAGCCCTTTCCTGCTGCAGTTGGAAATCATTAATGGCC